TTGAGGTATTGGGATCTCACTAATATCTCGGTCTTTAAAATCTGATATCACTATGAGAAAAATAATTGTAATTCAATTCATTTGAACAGCACCTTACAGGGTGTTTTGGGGTTTTCTTCACAGATATTTTATTGTAGTAAAATATAAATAACATACAATTTATCTTTTTAATCATTTGTAAGTGTACAGTTCAGTGATCTTAAGGACATTCACATTGTTGTACAATCATCACCACGATCCACTTCTAGAACTTTTTTGTCATCTCAAATAGAAGCTGTCCCCATTAAAACACTAACTCCCAGCTAGACGCGATGGCACACACCTGTAATCTCAGCACTTTGGGAGGCTGAGGCGGGTGGATCACTTGAGCGTAGGAGTTCGAGACCAGCCTGGATGACACGGCAAAACCCTGTCTCTACAGAAATACAGGTGTGCACCTATAGTCCCAGCTACTTGGGAGGCTGAGGTGGGAGGATCTCTTGAGCCCTGGAGGCGGCGGTTGCAGTGAGCCGTGACTACACTCCAGCCTGGGTAACAGAGTGAGACCCTGTCTCAAAAACAAAAAAACAGAAACAATAATCACGAACTCCCCATTCTCCAACCGCCCCTGGTAACCGCTATTCTACTTTCTGTCTCTATAATACATTTGACTACTCCAGGGACCTCATCTGAATGTGGAATCATATAGTATTTATGCTTTTGTGTCTGGCTTGTTTCATTTAGCATAACGTCCTCAAGGTTGATCCTTGTTATATCACGTGTCAGAATTTTTCTCCTTTTTAAGGCTAACATTTCACTGTATGAATACACCACATTTTGTTTACCAGTCATCAGTTGATGGACATTTGGATTGCTTCCACTTTTTAGCTTTTATAAATAACACTGCTATGTTGTTTTTAAGTAGTAAAATTACTATAAACTTTTCCTTTTTTTTTTTCTTTTTTTTGAGACAGAATCTCGGTCTTGTTGCCCAGGCTGGAGTGCAATGGCACAACCTCAGCTCACTGCAACCTCCACCTCCCAGGTTCAAGCGACTCTCCTGCCTCAGCCTCCCGAGTATCTGGGATTACAGGCACATGCCAACATGCCAGGCTAATTTTTTTTTTTTTTTTTTTGGTATTTTTAGTAGAGACGGGGTTTTACTGTGTGGGCCAGGCTGGTCTTGAACTCCTAACCTCAGGTGATCCACCCACCTTGGCCTCCGAAAGTGCTGGGATTACAGGCGTGAACGACTGTGCCCGGCCTTAATGTTCCCTTTCATTACAATTTCCCTATTACCCAGTGTTAAGAACTGTCTTTTTTTCCCCTTTTGCTTAGTAGTCTGTTACCATTATTAATTTATCCCTACACTCTCCCCTAGCTGAGTAAAGATTTTCTCAATATATTCATATCAGTTATTCTATTAATTTCATTGCATGAAGCAATCTTTCCTGGCACCTTCTGGCTGGCTCCAATCTGAACCAGTTGCTCTCCAGACCTGACCTGCTTCTCAGCTGCTGAGGTGGGGTCTCCTTCACCATCATCCCCTCTGCCTGCTGCGTGTTGGTTGGATCCTCTCTTTTCTGGGTCCAGTGTCTCTTGCTTTCTTGGTTTACTCCTTCACTAGGGTGGCACGCAACTTCCACTGACATGGGAGGTAAAGTTTTTGAGAACCTGTGTGTTTGAAAGTGTCCTTATTCCACTACGAACTTCACTGATCATCTGGCCAGATGTCAAATTTAAGTTTGGAAAGAATGGCCCCTTAGACTATTGGAAGCATTGCTCCATTATCTGCTGTTTGCAGAGGTGCTGTTGAGAAGCCCAAAGCCGCTCTGGTCCTTTGTACCTTTTATTTATTTATTTATTTATTTATTTATTTATTTATTTATTTTTATTTTTTTTTTTTGAGACGGGGTCTCGCTGTGTCACCCAGGCTGGAGTGCAGTGACGCAATCTCGGCTCACTGCAAGCTCTGCCTCCCGGGTTCCCGCCATTCTCCTGCCTCAGCCTCCGAGTAGCTGGGACTACAGGCGCCCGCCACCACGCCCGGCTAGTTTTTTTTTTTTGTTTTTTTTTTTTAGTAGAGACGGGGTTTCACCATGTTAGCCAGGATGGTCTCGATCTCCTGACCTCGTGATCCACCCGCCTCGGCCTCCCAAAGTGCTGGGATTATAGGCTTGAGCCACCGCGCCCGGCCCCTTTGTACCTTTTATAAAACCTTCAGTAGTGAGGATGATCCATCACTTTTAGAATGTAAATTTGGAGGCATTCAACCTAGATACTCCTGTTGTTCAGTGCCCACTGCAGGAGAAATAGAGTATATTATTATTCTCAGAGAGTTGCTGTGGCCAAGACAAAGGCTCAAAAGATGGTACTGCTTGTCCCCATCATTTCCTCCACTGCCCCTTCCTCTTATGTTAATCTCACTGGAGGAGGATAAATAAACTTTCTATTATGCTGAAAGAGCAGGATTAAGCTTATCTTCTGAGGTCTCAAATCCTCTGAGACAGCCTTCATTCTTCACATATTGGAAGTCATCCATCAGGTTGTCTTCAAATCAAACATAACATAGCCCTTTCCACCTTCACAACCCTAGAATCCCTTCCGCTGTTTGGGTGTTTTTTGGAGTTCCCCATCTTTTAACTAAATGAACCTCACTGCCCCAAGCCAGGCACATCATCTTAATAATAAATCACAACTCTCACTGAAGGTTGACTGTGTGCCAGACGCTGTAAATGCTAATTGCACCACATTTCATCTTGGTTAATCCTCAAACCCCACTAGTGCCATGACCCAGCTGGGGTTCAGGGAAGGTTATTGACTTGCCATGAGCCGGTTAGTGCAAAGCTGGGATTCAAATTCAGTTCTTCTCACTCCAAAGAACCAAGCTCTGAACAGTTTTGCTAGGTTGCCTTGGTCAAAAAATATACAATGGGTGGGTAGTTAGTGGTTCTTATCTAATCCCAGTCCGCAGGAGGCAAACGCACCAAAAGATTGACAGTGATGATCTCTGGGTATTGGAATAATATTTTCTTTTTTATCCTTTTCTTTATTTTCCAAATTTTCATCTCTGCCATAACTTTCTTGATAGAAAAAATAAAATAAAGACATTTGAGTTACAATAACTTTATCATTAGAAAAATAAAAACAGTAGACTCCATGGCTGTAATGTTTAACTCAGACTCAGTGTCTCCATTGTTGTTTTGTCTGGAATAAGCTGAAAATTCCTCCAGGCAGGAGTGCTGTCCTTCATGACACTGATTATCCTGCCAGGCCCTGGATGACAAACTCTAATAATATATCTACTCCATTCCTCTGCCTACTCAGCCTGCAATTCTATCTGAAAAGTCATCAGATCTGTCTGTGTCCCACAAGACCTGCGATGGTTTCCCACAACCCCTACTCCACTCAGATGTGCAGAACTGGATTAATCATACGTCACGGCTCATGACACACTCCTCATCGTCCCTGCATTCCCCATCACCCTATTTGTAAAACAAGATAAAGAACGTCCACCAGCTCACCACCCAAAATGAGTGTAATTTACATCCATCTGCTCAGCTGAGTGAACTCTCCGGGATATTGAGTTTTCGGCTTACTATTCACTTCCTGTTAAGTATATGTGTGTTTTCTAGTTTTATTATAAATATACCTATTCTGGAAAACTTTGTTGTTTCATTTTAGTTGTTTTTAACATTGTGAATGGAGCTTAATGTGTGTAATTCTTGGACTTAACTTGCTTTTTTGTTTGTTTGTTTTTGAAATAGGGTCTTGCTCTGTCACTCAGGCTGGAGTGCAGTGGTGCGATCTCAGCTCACTGCAACCTCTACCTCCTGAGTTCAAGTGATTCTCATGCCTCAACCTCCTGAGTAGCTGGGATTACAGGCGCCCACCACCACATTCAGCTAATTTCTGTATTTTTACTAGAGTCAGGTTTAATTATGTTGGCTAGGCTGGTCTCAAACTCCTGACCTCAAGTGATCTGCCTGCCTCGGCCTCCCAAAGTGGATTACAGGCATGAGCCTCTGTGCCCGGCTTTAACTTTCTCACTATTATATTTTTCAGGTTCATCCACTTTGTTGCATGTCCCTATAAGACCATCTGCTGTTTAATGACTTAATAACTTTCCATTGTATGAATGTATTATATTGGATTTATTTTTTCTGCTGTTGATGGACAGTTGGTTGATTTATACATTTTTGCTATTACAAAAAGGTCTGCTCTTAACATCTTTATATATGTCTCCTGGTTTTTCTTGTTGGTATACCCAAGGATGGAAGGTTAGACCATAGAATATATGAATTTTCATGTAGAGTATGTCAATTTTCACACACAAAAAGGCCAGTGTCATCTGAGATGGTGGCACCGCCTTATGTCTGCACCAGATGTATATAAGAAATCTAGAAAGCTGCCAGCTTTTCAGATCCACATACAGATTCCCCAATATAAACTGTTACATCCTTAACCAAGGTTTCAGACCAGATTTATGCTACAGTTCTAGTTTCGGGCTAGAGCATCTTACCCTTTGTAAAGTTCTTTGGGGAAACACTACATGTGATTTTTCTCAGTCTTCTTGGATTGATCTAATTCTCCAAAGAGCTTTTAAGAACCCTAGAGAATACCTAGCCCTGACAGCATCTTCCTGTGTCACGGAAAAGCAGTAGAGTTGGGTGTTCTTACCTCTTCCCTTGTGCTCCACAAACTCACAGACAGAGGATGTCATGTGGTTAACAGAAGACAACATCAAGTAGTCACCGGCAATAGTAGTTATTGGAAGAAGAAAGTGGCTATTTTTCAATTCAATTAAATGTGGTAATGAATGAGTGAATTCCCCCCAAGGGTAGGAGAAAGGAGAGTCCTTATTTTTCTTCATTCTTTATTTCTTTTTTTGGAATCATTTTTTCCCCCAGAGATAGTCCCTTTATCTAAGAAAAAAATAACTTCTTCCAGAGAGACAGACTGCTTTCCCAAAAACATAAAAGAAGCAGGCCACCTACACTAGCTCCACTGTGTCTTCCTAGCCAAGTGAAATTGAAGGCGGCAGGGGAGGTCTCCGTGGGATGTGGAGGGGAAGGGAAGTATCCATGGGACGTGGAGGAGAGAGGGGAGATCTCCATGGAGTGTGGAGGGGAAAGGGAGGTGACCATAGCTCTGCTTCCTCCACAGGGAGGGGAGGTGGCCCAGTCTGGCTCCATCCAGCAGGCTTCACCTGTGCCCTCAGCCCCACCACAGGCAGAGCCGTCCGGCTCTGCCCGTGTTGCTAGACTTCCAGTTCACTTTTGTTCAGGCAAGTGAGTCTCTGTCATTGGCAGTTTAGCCCCGAGTTCAATTCCACGTTTATAGATTATTCCCTCTCCATTGCCCATTCTAATACTCACCACTGTTGATCTTCCCATCTCTCTAAAAAAAAAAAAAAAAAAAAAACCCTTCCACTCAAATCACCTTTCCTTGACTCAGTTCATGCGGCAGGCTCCGCACTCCTTGTCAATCCATCGCTCCATTGTCTCTTCTCTAACTCAGTACTCACCCATAGTGATTTTCAAAAATGTGGTCCTTCCTTCCTTCCTTCTCTTTCTTTCTCCTTCCTTCCTTCCTTCCTTCTTCCCTCCCTCCCTTCCCTCCCTCCCTCTCTCCCCTCCTTCCTTTCTTCCTTTCTTTCTTTCTTTCTTTCTTTCTTTCTTTCTTTCTTTCTTTCTTTTCTTTCTTTCTTGCTTGCTCGCTTTCTTTCTTGCTTTCGTTCTTTCTTTCTTTCTGAAACAGAGTTTTGCTCTTGTTGCCCAGGCTGGAGTGCAATGACATGATCTTGGCTCACGGCAACCTCCGACTCCCAGGTTCAAGCAATTCTCCTGCCTCAGCCTCCCAAGTACATCCTCCTGGGATTACAGGCATGTGCCACCACGCCCAGCTAATTTTTGTATTTTTAGTAGAGACAAGTTTTCACCATGTTGGCCGGGCTGGTCTCGAACTCCTGAGCTCAGGTGATCTGCCTGCCTTGGCCTCCCAAAGGGCTGGGATTACAGGCCTAAGCCACCACGCCCAGCGAAAAATGTGCCCTTTCAAGAGTCAGCATGCATGTTGGTAGATGGCTTAAGTGACCACCTTACCAATTCCGAAAGAATTGAGATGTGGGACCTCTGCCCTCTCCTCAATCAGTCCTTTGTCTCTATTTCCATAGTTGTCACTCTGGTCAGGGACTTAACCACTTCTTGCTTAGCATGGATTGCCCCTTTCCTTTCCACACCAGCACCAGGCTAACCCTCTGGAAAGTTCCCTCCTCATGCCATTCTCCCCCTCACAAATCTTCATGGGCTCCCGCTGTTCACAGGTAAGATACATACTCCCCAGCCTGGCAGGCCACTCCCTCCACAGCCGAATCCCAGTACCCAATCCCAGGTGCCTTCCTGCCTCTGCGCTTTGGTTCCTGCCCTCTCCCACTGCAGTGCCCTCCTCTCTTCTCCATGCACGGTTAGATTCACCTTTTGCTCTCCGTGACACCCTTTCATGTCACCAAAGCCCATAGTTCATTTTAAAAAAAATTTCATCCCACCATCTAGCCATTTACCTTCCCTTCATTACATTCAAAACATTCAGCAAATGTTTTCCTTTTATTGAGTACTTATGAGTCAAGCATTGTGCTAGATTCTATGGAAGCAAAAACAAGTTAGTCATACTTCCCATCCTGGAGGGATTTACAGTCTAATAGAGTAAATACCAGCTGCGATTTAGTTTGCACATATTATACACTAGCTATAGTACGAAGCACTTAATATATTTTGTCATAAATTATCTTCACAATAACACAGTATGAGAGGTATTATAATTATAATCTTGATTTTACTGATGATTAAACAGAGGCTTAGCGGGGTCAGGTTATCTATCTGTGGTTACTTGGGTGGCAATCAGCAGAGTCAGGAATGAGAGTCTATAAAAACCTGCTCTGATGTGCGCCCTGGGAACACACTTCCTCTCACCATACCACTCACCTTCCGCTCCCTCTCTCTCTCTACCTTTCCCTCTCTGCTGCCTCTGTGTTCACAGCATTCGGCAATTGTTCGTGTACTGTATGTTTTCTCCTTGCATTTCTTAACTCGTTATGTAACGTTTGTGTGCACTTATTTCATGTTTCTTCAGTTAGATTTGTAAATGCTGGGCTGGGTGCGGTGGCTCACGCCTATAATCCCAGCACTTTGGGAGGCCAAGGCGGGTGGATCACAAGGTCAAGAGATCAAGACCATCCTGGCCGACATGGTGAAACCCCATCTCTACTAAAAATACAAAAAAATTAGCTGGGCATGGTGGTGCGCACCTGTAGTCCCAGCTACTTGGGAGGCTGAGGGAGGAGAATTGCTGGAACCCGGGAAGCAGAGGTTGCAGTGAGCCGAGATCACACCACTGCACTCCAGCCTGGTGACAGAGTAAGACTCCATCTCAAAAAGGAAAAAAAAAAAAAAAGGTTTGTAAATGCCATGAGACAAAGGGAGTTAGGAAAATATGAAATCAAGAATATTGTGCCTTGTGCAGAGTAGGATTCATATGTATGTTCCAGTTATAACAAGTTTGGGATGTCAACACCTCAATATTTTATAGAGCTAGGAGGAAGTCATCCATGAGTTAAACATAGATCACCAGCACTCTCAAACAGTGACCCCCAAACTTCTAAATTACGAGGACCATCTTGTTACCCAAAACTGCTAATTGGTTTCTAAGCAAAGAAAATCTTCTGACAATAACCAATGGAGGAAACACTATGCATTAGTATTGTTTTTAAAACTGTCATGAATTTAGTGATGCCTTTGAGCAAATTTGTATTTTATTAATTGGAATTACACATCCCCATGTTTTTGAATAGTACGTGTAGGTGTAAAATATTGTGTATGCAGTCTATAGATAATGCTTGCAATCCTACGATTTTAAATGCCTCATCAGGCATCCATGTCCTACAGACTAGGAATCCCTGATCTATGTGTTTGCTATCCCTGAGCTGAGAGTGGACAAGGTGAGCTCACTTGTAAAGGATCATGCTTCCCTTCTGAGTCCAGAATTCTTTTGTAGGAAGTAATCTTAGTTTAGGGCAGAGCTCTGACATTTATCTGTCTTCTCTATTCAATAAGAATACAAAAGGGGGAGGGTTTCCCCTCACTGATTATGCAATATAATTACTACAGCTGTGAATGGGATTAACAGTCATGGATTCAGTGTGACGAATTTAAACACAACTCAGAGAGCTCATTTTTAATGTCTCTTTCCTCTTCCCAGTTCAGATCTCAGAGAAATTTGCACTAACAGGGGTGAGTTCAGTCAAAGCTGGCTATGTGCGAACTATCAACTGGAAACAGAATGCTGGCCGTGAAAAGAGGAGGACTTTCTCCTCACTGTGCCCTTTGTTAAAACTTTTTTGGTAACTCATCTTTGTTTTTTTTTAAACAGGGTCTCACTTTGTCACCCACGCACCACCCTGGAGTGGTCTTGGCTCACTGCAACCTCTGCTTCCTGGGTCCAAGAGATTCTTGTGCCTCACCCACTCAAGTGGCTGAGATTACAGGCATGTGCCACCACACCCAGCTAATTTTTGTATTTTTAGTAGAGACGGGGTTTCACCGTGTTGGCCAGGCCCGTCTCAAACTCCTGGCCTCAGGTAATTCTCCCACCTCGGCCTCCCAAAGTGCTGGGATTACAAACGTGAGCCACCACACCTGGCCTCATATTTGTTTTTTATTGAAAGTCAAGGCTATATAGTCTGGGTAGAGAATGTTGCTGAGTGAACCTGGAAGAAATCATCTGAAGCAAGCACTATATGATTTATTGCATAACACAAAAAGGATATGTAGTATTTTTTTCATACATCTACCTAACGTACCTAATGCTTCCTTAAGGATGCCTCTGATCCTTCTGCCATAAGCCTTTAAAATGAAAGGCAATATACAAAAGTAGACTATGATGCTCACCGTCATAGTAGAACTAACAGGAAAGGTGGCAGCTTAAAAAGGAGTGAGTATTATTCCAAGAAAGAAACAGGCCCGTACACAAACAACTGCAAATACGTTGTGGTGACTTAACTAAGAAATTAGACTTAATTTAAAAAGTAATAATGATCTGTATTCATTTCAATCTAAACAATCCAGAGTTGCTAACACAGTGAAACTCCGTCTCTACTAAAAAATACAAAAAAAAAAAAAAACTAGCCGGGCGAGGTGGCGGGCGCCTGTAGTCCCAGCTACTCGGGAGGCTGAGACAGGAGAATGGCGTGAACCCGGGAGGCGGAGCTTGCAGTGAGCCGAGATCCGGCCACTGCACTCCAGCCTGGGCGACAGAGCGAGACTCTGCCTCAAAAAAAAAAATTAAAAATAAAAATAAAAAATAAAAAATAAACAATCCAGAGTTTTACCAGTTTATTTCAGAGAAACATGTACAATACTATTGCCCTCATCCCAAAATATATACAGAGCTCTTATCATGTGCATGGCATAATGAAAAGCAACAATATTCTATTTTAAGGAATTAGGTGCCTCTTGTAGTCTAAAGGTCAGATCTATAAATACTGTTCTCTATTTGGGCTTCCAAATTTCCCTCTGGTCTGAAGAATAGATCTCTCCCTCGAGAAGTTCAGCCTCTCAAACAATGTCAGGCACATTATAGGACTCAGGAAAGATGTGTTGAATGAATGAATGAATTAATGAATGAGTGAGTGAAAGAATGAATGAATGAGCTCATAAACAGGGTGCCTGTCACTTCAGCAAACAAATGTCTCAACACAGAACCACAAGCAGTGGTGTCTGCCTGTAGGCCCAGCTACTTGGGAGGCTGAAGTGGGAGGATTGCCTGAGCCCAGTAGTTTGAGGCTATAGTGCACTATGATTGCACTTGTGAATAGCCACTGCACTCCAGCCTGAGACATATTTTAAAGAGAAAAAAAAATGTATAAACACAGAGATTCCATCCTCATTCAGGAAAAACTCAGAATGGAACTTCAGGCAGATAATGAAAAGCCACACATTCTACCAGTTGCTTTAACTACACGATTTCCCCTTCCAAACCTGGATTTCTTATGGTCTTTACATCAAAAGTAGAAGTGAAAGGAGATTCTCCATGATTGTGTGCGCCTTTTGAATGATAAATAGTCAATCATTTTAAGGCAGTGTGTACAGGGGTGACTGATTCTGGAGAGTGTTTTGTTGAGGAAGGTTTGTATGAGGAGCCCAAGGCAAGGATAGCATGGGGTAGAGAAGGATATCTACTGAGGGTAGAAATAGGAAAGGAGAAATCAATGCAGGAAAAACAGGAGCTCTGTGTGTGTGTATGTGCACATTTCACACGTGCATAAAAGTAAAATATGCAAATATATATATGGCTTGAGTCGGATCCACAAATAAGCACTAAAATGCACCAGCTACCAAAGAGATGTTCACAGCGCCTCTCGGTCAAACGATTAAACAAATAGACTGACAGCATCTGTGGGAAAGATGTTTTAGCCTTTGCGCTCTACAACTTTATATCGAGCTGGTCCAACCACTCTAAGGCACTAAGGGAAAAGATGAAAAAAAACATTCTTTAGCCTTATAATTGATGAGATAAAAATACTAACGGGAAGTCTTTCTGTCCACAGGAACAAACTTAAACTGGTTAACTTGAAAAGGAAACATTCAAAAATAGATAATATTAATATATGGTGTTAGAATTAGGGTAGTGGTGGCCAGGCACAATGGCTCACACCTGTAATCCCAGCATTTTGGGAGGCCGAAGCAGGCAGATTACTTGAGGCCAGGAGTTTGAGACCAGCCTGCCCAACATGGTGAAACCCCGTCTCTACTAAAAATACAAAAATTAGCCAGGTGTGATGGTATGCACCTGTAATTCCAGCTACTCAAGAGACTGAGGCACAAGAATCACTTGAACCTGGGAGGCAGAGGTTGCAGTGAGCCAAGATCGAACCACTGCACTCTAGTCTGGTGACAGAGTGAGACTGCCTCACAAAAAAAAAAAAAAAAGAAGAAGAAGAATTAGGATAATGGTTACATTGGGTGGGGAGTGACCGAAAGGGTCCAAAGAGGGGATGTCATCCAGCTTCTGGGATGACAGTAATGTTTTGTTTCTTGACCTGGGGACATGGTGTGTTGATGACTGAGAAAATTCATCCCACTCTGTACTTAATGATCTGTATATATTTCTGTATGAATATCGCACTTTAGTTCACTCAAAATACCTACATAGACATTTGCTTTGTTTTGTTTTGTTTCATTTTGTTTTGTTTTGTTTTGAGATAGGGTCTCACTCTGTCACCCAAAGGAGTGCAGTGGCATAATCACAGCTCACTGCAGCCTCAACCTCTCTGGGCTCAGGTGATTCCTCCTAACTCAGCCTCCCAAGGAGCTGGGACTACAGGTGCCTGCCAGCACATCTGGCTAATTTTTGTATTATTTGTAGAGATAGGCTTTTGCCATATTGCCCAGGCTGGTCTCAAACTCCTGGACTCAAGTGATCCTCCCACCGCAGCCTCCCAAAGTGCTTGGATTACAGGTGTGATCCACCATGCCCAGTGCTATCTAGAAAATTCAAGATTATTTCATTGGCAATTGAATCTCTATAAAAACATAAGCAATTTCAAAACTTATATATATATATTTTCTTTAACAAGGGTGGTGATGGATAGAATTCTAGCAATGAAGAGAAAGAGAGCCTATTCATAAGTCAAGTGTTTGGAGCCACCAAGGGAGATGAGACGTTAGTCCTACGTAATTATTAAAGGAAATACTGGGCTCCACTTACCATAGAGCCCAAACTGATGGGCCAGATAAAAGTCTAGGTTCTCTGCAGGTCATACAGTCATCTAGCCTGTACTTTCCTAATTGTTTTCTTCTCCGGTATTACTAAAGGCTTATTAACCTGCTGGTAAACGATGAACACAGATTAGTGGTCATTAATTAAGGTCACGGGTCACCTAATAGGGATGGCTCAGTGAGTAGTTTCTGTTGGTCTTATGTAGTACCTGATGGACCATCAGGGATGACCAGGTCCAATATGGCTGTATCACAACCCTATTCTCTCAGGAGGAAATGAGAGATATATGGTGTTAGAATTCCTGTCACTTTCCACCTCACCCTTTATGGATAAAGGAGGCCAATACAACGTGGGCCTGCCAAGGTCCTGTATTCTTACCCCGTCAGATTTTGACTCCTGCCTCTCATGTGAGGTACTCCACCAAGGATCCCCTCCCTCATTGACAGGAGCAGACAGGAACATGAGGGCTATTGGTTTCCAGGCTCCTCACCATCAACGTTGCCTTTTTCCCCTGTTTTCTCCAACTTTGAGAATTGGGAACTCAGGCACGGTGGCTCATTTCTATAATCCCAGCACTTTGGGAGGTCAAGGTGGGAGGATTCCTTGAGCTCAGGAGTTTGAAGCCAGCCTGGGCAATGCAGTGAGACTCCATCTCTGTAAAATTAATAAAAATAAAAAATAAAAAGAATTGGGAGAAGTGAATGGTAATTTATCTTTATGAAAAGAAAATCCCCCAAAGTATTCTTAATCATTTTTCATATTCAGAGGTAAAAAATCTGTCAGCATCACGATGACTGGTGGAATTTTCAGGTCGAGGGTGTGAGCATTCCACAGAAATGTGCTTACTCCCACTTCAACAGGGACAGTTACAGCTCTATCCCTATGAAATATCAGGATTCTGTGCAAGATTGCCCAAGTAAAAAGGAGTTTTGATGCTTTTAAGAAGTTTTAAGGGTCCCAGCAGCTTAGGGGTGGTAAGAATTGCAGCCAGTGCAGCTCTGCAGAGGCCCTCGCAGTGCCATCCTGGAACACAGCCTCCGCCAGGAAGCCGGGGAAAAGGAGCGGTTCAGTTCAAGAGACAGTCATGGAGAGACCGGCAGGATGGTATCCAAACCTGCTCCTGCAGATGCTGGAACTGATTTTAAAATATGCAAATAATGAAAGTGAGAAACTGTATACAAAAGGCAAAGGAGGAGCAAAACTATGAAATCAGACTCCCCTGCAGAAAATGAAGATGCTAAAACCAGAAGAGGCCAGACTCTGGTGAAGCAGGAGAGAAAGCAGCCAAATCTGGTGAGTATCCTCAACCGAGTACCCTCGATTATCTCAGCATTGCCTTCTTGCAGACACCAGAAGAGCCATTTTACCAACTATTTTGTAAATGCAAGTTTTTAGTAGTTCTAGAAACACACTTGTAAGAAGCAGGAAACCTACCCCATCCCTTAAAAAAAAAAAATTGTTTTTGATAAGTGTAAATACTTTTTTAAAGAAATAAGCTTATGGCCTGGCGTTAGATTTCTTTTTCTTTTATTTAATGCCCCTTCCCCACCCTGGTTGTATATTTTTCTATATACATCATACATTTTTCAATTTAGCTATTCATAGAATAAGTGGAAATCAAATTAAGGGAGATATTGACTATAGTCTGTGGATGGGGGAGGGGAGGTGGTGGAAGCTGTGCTGGCAGTTTCCAACATCCCATAACCAGAAGCACAATCAGGCCGGGTGTGGTGGTGCATGTCTCTAACCCCAGACCTTTGGGAGGCCGAGGCTGGTGGATCACTTGAGCCCAGGGGTTTGGGACCAGCCTGGGCAGCAAAGAGAAACCCTGTCTCTACTAAAAATAGAAAAATTAGCCGGACGTGGTGGTGCACGCCTATAGTCCCAGCTACTCGAGAGAATCACCCGAGCCCGGGACGCAGAGGTTGCAGTGAGCTGAGATGCCCCAGGTCGCCGCATTCCAGCCTGGGCCACAGAGGGAAACCCTGTCTCAAAAAAAAAAAAAAAAAAAAGGTAGCACAATCAAATGGCAATTTAAAGTCGTGATCATGCAATTAACTTGTAAACATTTTGTACTGCTTAGCTTTGTTCCCTTGTCTTTTACTAAAATTATTTATAAAACTATTCCCTGATCTGGATTCCCTGACGGACTTGGGTGTCCTCCATGACACCTTTGTTTCTGGTAATCCAATTTTTCCGAATAATTTTATCAATGTGTTGTGAAAGATTGGACAGGTTTGAGCATGTAGTATCTATATTAAATCGTGAATTAGTCAAACTTTAGACCAAACAAATTTTCAATGTTTTAAGATAATGGCATTTGAAAACCTCCTTCTAAAAAAAATAATTTGTCTCCAAATTGTAAGCTAAAAAGTCAATGGAATAACTGTTTGGAAAAGAATTACAGTTGCATAGCTTTTTATATTTTCAGTACCTGCTGTTAAGAACTATATACAGGGTTTCTGCAGAGGCTGTGACAGAAACCAAGGAGTCCGGTTTGGGATTGCCAGCCTGTGTGTGTGAGTCTGAGTATGTGAGCAGCTGTGGCGCCCCAGGTCCTCGTCAGCATATCATCCCAGCAGGAGATAAACTACATTCAGTTAAGTCTGCAAGACTGGAAGGAATTGGGGTGATAAGAAATTGATTCACTGTTGGCCGGGCGTGGTGGCTCTTACCTGTAATTCCAGCACTTTGGAAGGCTGAGGCGGGCAGACCACCTGAGGTCAGGAGTTTGAGACCAGCCTGACCAACATGGAGAAACCTTGTATCTACTAAAAATGCAAAATTAGCCAGGCGTGGTGGCGCATGCCTGTAATCCCTTGGGAGGCTGAGGAGGAGAATACTTGGGAGGCTGAGGCAGGAGAATCACTTGAACCCCTGGAGGTGGAGGTTTGCAGTGAGCCGAGATCATGCCATTGCACTCCAGCCTGGGCAACAAGAGCAAAACTCCGTCTCAAAAAAAATAAAAAATGATTTTTAAAAAATTGATACACTTTCAAGGTTTATTAAAGTCAAAATATCTAAAAAAAAATCAGTGGCAGTTCTGTGGTAGAGATGCAAGGAGATGAAATGACACAAATCATTTGGGAGTTGATTCAAGAGAAACTCATTTTTCCCTATGCGGAATTGGATCTACATAGCTATGATTTAGGCATAGAGAATCGTGATACCACCAACCACCAGGTCACCACGGATGCTGCAGAAGCTATAAAAAAGTATAACATTGGTGTCAAGTGTGCCACTGTCATCCCCGATGAGAAAAGGGTTGAGGAGTTCAAGTTGAAACAAATGTGGAAATCGCCAAATGGCACCATCCAAAATATTATTCTAGGTGGCACAGTCTTCAGAGAAGCCATTATCTGCAAAAATATCCCCCGGCTTGTGAGTGGATGGGTAAAACCCACCATTGTAGGTCGTCCTGCTTACGGGGATCAATACAGAGCAACTTATTTTGTTGTTCCTGGGCCTGGAAAAGTAGAGCTAACCTACACACTAAGTGACAGCACCCAAAAGGTGACATACCTGGTACATAACTTGGAAGAGGATGATATGATAGTGTTGCCATGGGGATGTATAATCAAGATAAGTCAATTAAAGATTTTGCACACAGTTCCTTCCAAATGGCTCTAAGGGTTGGCCTTTGTATCTGAGCACTAAAACACTATTTTGAAGAAATATGATGAATGTTTTAAAGACATCTTTTAGGAGATATATGACAAGCAGTACAAGTCCCAGTTTGAAACCCATAAGATCTTGTATGAGCATAGGCTCATCGATGACATGGTGGTCCAAGCTATGAAATCAGAAGGAGGCTTCATCTGGGCCTCTAAAAAGTATACTGGTGACATGCAGTCAGACTCTGTGGCTCAAGGGTATGTCTCTCTTGGCATGATGACCAGTGTGCTGGTGTGTCCACAAGGCAAGACAGTAGAAGCAGTGGCTGCCCACTGGACTATAACCTGTCACTACCGCATGTCCCAGAAAGGCCAGGAGACGTCCACCAATCCCATTGCTTCCATTTTTGCCTGGACCAGAGGGTTGGCCCTCAGAGCAAAGATTGATAATGATAAAGAACTTGGCTTCTTTGCAAATGCTTTGGAAGAAGTCCGTATTGAGACAATTGAGGCTGGTTTCACGACCGAGGACTTGGCTGCTTGCATTAAAGGTTTACCCAGTGTGCAATGTTCTGACTACTTGAATATGTTTGACTTCATGGACAAACTTGGAGAAAACTTGAAGATCAAACTGGCTCAGGCCAAACTTGAAATTCATACCTGGGCTGAGGAGGATAAGTATCTTTTGGCAACTAGGTTTACAGGTTTACATTTTTCTGTATCACACTCAAGGCTAAAGACAAAATCTATTTTGTAATTTGTTTAGAAGCCAGAGTTTATCTTTTCTATAAGTTTATAGTCTTTTTCTTGTATATAGTTATTGCCGCCTTTGTGAATGTGGCAAGGGACTTTAAATTTTATTTTCTGGTAGCAGCCTAGGAATTCGGTTAGTACTCATTTGTATTCACTGTCACTGTTTCTCATGTTCTATTATAAATGACCAAAATCAAGAGTGCTCAAAAGGGTCAATGATAGCCACGGTATTTTTCCCTAGAATATGCATAAAGTAGAAATTTACACCCTTCTTCTCCTGTCCATGACCTTGGGCACGGGGAGGTTTTGTTGTTAAAGATGTCCCATTATGTGATGTAGAGCTGTACATTAAACTTGCACATGACTGGAACAAACTATGAATACAATTAAAATGTGTTGAAGATACTGCAGTCGTTTTTGTAAAGAGCTTGCTGAATGTTTCCAATAGACTAAGTATTTTTCAGGCCACAGGAGAGTTTGGAATCTGGGATAAATACTACCTGGAGGTGTGGAAAAAAAATAAAACAACTATATCCATTATATGTATATAGTTGTATGTGTATATGAATCATTAGGTCTATGTACTGATCACTAAGACAAACAAACAAACAAAAAAACAGTAAAATATCAATTAAGGTAGAAAAAAGGTCTAAAAACAGTAGGTATGGTAGAAAGAGCACTGGATTTTTAGGCAGGTAGACAGGACTCCCAACCCAGAGAAGTTCTGTGATTTGTGCGACATTGCAGAGCAAATGTTATATGGCAAAGCCAAGACTTGACCCACCCCTTCAGGTTCTCAGCCCTGCTGTTACCATTACCCAACACAGATGCTCAGAGGTAACTCTTCATCCTACAGCTATGCGTGGCTTGCAAAGCCAAAAAGCCAGAAATGGGTTCAACTCCAGATTTTCTCATTCACTAGATTGCCTGTGGCAATGATTCTCAATACTTGCCATGTACCGGATTATATGAAGGAGCTGTGGAAAACATACAGTTGCCCAGATCCCTCTTCCAAAGATTCTGACTCATTTGTTCTGGGATGGGGCCCAGGTAGTTTAATTTATTTAAAAAATGTCCCTGGATGATTCTCATATGCAGCCAATTCGATGAGAATCATTGTTTTCTGGCACTGGTTCTCAACCTGTGCTGCACATTAAAATCACTTGGGGAGCTTTGAAAACTACAGGCCTAAGTCCCATCCTCAGAAACAGTCAATCACCTGGTCTGGGTGCATCCTGGGCCCCGGCCTTTGCAAAAGCTTTCCAGGTGATGCTAATGTGTAGCAGGTATGAGAACCATTGCTCATAGGCTCCCCAAACCATGCATCCTTAGTCTAAAATCATCTCTCAGGGAAGGGCCTGACCATCAGCATTCTCAAAAGTCTAGCACTGTCCGTGTTCAATAAGTGCTTGTTGAAAGAATTGCCTCATGAGAACCAATGTCTATTGACAGGTGAGAAGAAAAGGGCAAGTTTAAGAAATAATGAGCATTTAATATGAAAATGTCCTGAGGGGGGATTATGTAGTTAGTTAAGCAAATATTATGACAATATGCAGATTATCTTACGAACACAAAGGTGGCCTTCTTAAGTCGTTGAGGCTGCTATCCTAAACCTGGGATAGTCTGATGTAGGGTAAACACACCTGGTAGCAATTATTTAAGCATACTCTGAGAATGACCCTGGATGGCAGATGCATCTAAATGTGTGTTCCAATCTAGGGAACCCAAGTAGCTAACCCGGAAGTTCGTTCCTTTTCTATGATAAACATCTGAACCCCTGGCACGTTCCATGGAACACAGGCTGTACATCGAGGACCTGAGTTTTGGGTTAAACGAAGGTTGCCAGGTGGAAGTCGTCACAGGGAGGGTGTTAAGTGGAAATGCTATAAAAACTTCATGCTGTTTGCAGGCAGCTGCAGTGTTCCTGCCCAACCCACTGCCACTGGGCTACGTGGTTATGTTGTCCAGCCTGCCACCGCCGGACTCTCTCCCCTGTATGTAACCCCCTAATAAAACCCCGTGTCTCATTTGCCGGCTCTTGGTCTCTTCTTTGGCCTCTTGAATCTAGTACCTTCCTTACTGAGATTAATAGGAGTTTGGCACAACACCTTTTCCCCAAGAATATTGTGAGAGTGAGAATCAGCAAATTCTACCTACCTTAACTAATCCCTACCTCGGACAGAGCCATTCTTTACTGAATCCAACAGCAGTCTCAGCACAAGGCATCTGGAACACCAGATAATTCTCTTACCAAATGCTGTTTCCAGTATATAATGAAGGGCATGACCCACCAGTGGGAATTGACACTATGGAAGAGCTATTTGCGTTCACGGATATGAGCAGACTAGGAAAAGAGAAATGATTCCCCCTTTCAACTTATTTAACAAGAATGTTAACTGACAAAGTAGAATAGCAAAGCTGCCTCTACTGCATAATCCCACATTTGTAATAAACATGACCTGGAAGAAATTTACCAAAATATGAACAGAGCTCAGGTTTATCTTTGGATAGAGAGATTATGGTGATTTTTATGTTTTCCTTTATACTTTTCTGTTTTCTGAATGTTTTGCCTAGTACAGATATTACTTTTAATAAGAAAAAAAAGACTACCCTTTAAAAATTGTGTGTGTGTGTGTATGTGTGTGTGTACAGAAGGTGGGTTAAAAAAATTTAAGGTGCTCAAGTCTGGGGAATGACTCTCAGAGGCATTTCTAAACCTGCTGGCACTTAGACAAGGAGGAGCAGGTTTGTCCGACAGCTTGAAAGCTCAGCAGATCCATTAGCGCTTTCGTCAGCAGGTGGAGATTTTGCAAGCCTGGTGTGGAGCTTGCCAGCCTCAGCAAAGTTGGTATCAGCCAGGTGACCAATAAAGATGAAGTTCCAGCAACCTCTGTCTGTCCACTTGGTGCCCAGCCTGACGCAAATGAATGGATTTGAACACTCTTGATGTCAGACTGCTGTTGATTGATAATGTTAAATACATGGAGAAGACACGAGGAGAAACTATTCAGAAAGATTCATGGTATAAACCACCAGGTTCCAATACTTGACTAAAGCTGCTCTCAATGTTTATAAATCTATTTGGTTTGGAAGTCAGGTGCAAATGGCATATGGATGAATCTTTTAGAGAAAATTTAGCTGAATTTATGTGCTTGGCTTACGTGAGAAGCCCAGTAAGTATCATAGACCAGTAGGAGCTCCCAGATAAAACCTCAAATCCAGTAGCAATGTCCTCTTACCTTCAGCAACAAGGCTCTCTTTCCTCAGAAACTTCCAACTCTTCATAGCCATCTATAAGACTACTTCTTTCAAACTTTCATGGTCTGGCGCAGTGGCTCATGCCTGTGATCCCAGCATTTTGGGAGGCCGAGGTGGGAGGATTCCTTGCATGCAGGAAATCAAGACTAGCCTGGGCGGCATTAGCCAAACCCTGTCTCTACAAAAAATACAAAAATTAGCCAGGTGTGCTGGTGAATGCCTGTAGTCCCAGCTACTCAGGACACTGAGATGGGAGGATTGCTTGAGCCTGGGAGGTCAAGGATGCAGTGAGCTATGATTGCAGCACTACACTCAGCCTGGGCAACAGGGTGAGACCCTGTCTCAAAAAAACAAACCCAAACCCTGATGCCCAATCTCTTTTTGCTATGAACTTCTTCCACCTCTTTCCTGAATTTTCCACTTTTCCTCTGTTGCGTGACACAGATATTCTTCCTTCATTACTTTCCTGAAGCAAAATTTTCCCTAAGTATCCTCAACCTCAATACCCATCAACACCCCTCCAGTGTCCTCGAACACCCATCCCATCTCACCGCCATCAGAAAGCCTTACAATCAGGAAATTTTATTTTCTGCTTAACTTAAATGTCATCTATTATAAATTGAATTGTAAATAACTTGAGGGAAGTCATCTATTTATCAATCTTTGCATCCCTCCAAAAGCACATAGGCTCCTATAAATTTGTAGAACAAATGAGTTTCCTCTGAAAGAACAGTAGTAGCACTTTATAATGATATCATACATTTGTTTATATAGAGCCATTTTCAAAGCATATGAGCCTTGCAGCTGCAAATGGAATCCACAGAACTGCAAAATTAATATCTTCTTGGAGTTACTTAGGAAACAGATATCTTGGCCTCCTGCTCCCTTCTGCTCCCCGCTTCCCTTATAAACACTGACGGAACTGGAATCTGAGTTTTAATAAAATCCCAGGCCATTCCTTTGGCATTCAAGGTTGAGAACCATTGGTCTAGACTAGAGCCTTGGCTCTCAACCTTAGCCGTACATTGGAATCATATAAAAAACTAAAAATACAGATGCCTGAGCTCCAGCCCTCTTCTGCCTATCCTGATTTAATCAATCCCCCCTGAGCAATAGGATTCTTCTTCTTTTTTTGAGACAGGGTCTCGCTCTGTTGCCCAGGCTGGTGTGCAGTGGCACTGCAGCCTCGGTCTCCCTAGGCTCAGGCCATCCTCCTACCTCATCCTCCCAAGTAGCTGGGACTACAGATACACACCACCACGCCCAGCTGATTTTTATATTTTTTGTCACCCAGGCTGGTCTTGAATTCCTGGGCTCAAGCGATCCGCCCACCTCAGTCTCCCAAACTACTGAGATTACAGGTGTGAGCCACCACAACCTGGCCAACAATAGTGCCCCAGTGAGCTGCCAGGGAAGAGAACCACTGTGAGTGTCTTCATGGGAACTCCCCACATCTCCTACAATATTTTGTGAGTCCAGTGTGTCGCCTCTATAGTGATTTCCTTTTTTTTTTCCCCACGCAACTTTTCCTTAGGATTGTATTACTTCTCATCTTCCATAAAAATATCACTCAGTTTTATTTCTCAGTAGACATTCATTGAGCACCTAGGATTTGCACACACACAAAACCCGTTCTTAAGCTTCCTTTCACAGTAAATTATCTAAATTACCTTTCTTGGGCTCTTTCTCCACAAACGCTGTTTTCTAATTTTATAAGCATTCTTTGGTACCGGTATAATTTTGGCTTGTCAGTTCCAGAGTAGAGGAAAAGAAAATTAATTCTATTTTGTCTAGTTTTAAAACAACCTACAGATTATTTTAAGCCACAGAGATACAAAAGTTGATTATATTTAAAAGCAAGCAGACCCAGTTCTTTAACTTTGATCAATATACTGTGTTTCACTTTCTCATCCAAACTGTAACAGCTAGGACTTCTAGAGGGCTTGCAATGCCCTGACAGGTGCTAAGTGTTTTACCTCTATTATCTCACATGATCCACCCGACATTGCTATGAGGTACATTCCATTGTTATCTCTATTTTCTGGATGAAAAAACACCAGCACAAAGAAGTTCAGTAACTGGCTTTAAGGCCACACAGCTTGTCTTCCTGAAGATGGGATCCAAACCCAGGCAGTCATAGAACATGCTGGTCACTATTGGGCCACTTGTTCTATGGGGGATGGTGCTCCAGGAACACAGAGATGCAGATTAGGATTCCAGGACCTGGGGGAGCTGCTGCTTCTTTCTTAGTTCTCAAAAGACCATTGAGTACAGTTTTCTAAACCTTTTCCCCACTTTAATCTGTGGTCCGTAAAACCGTTCCCACAGGTATAACCCACTGCGAAGTTTACAATGATTTCATGTCTGGACGCATTCCTACTGAATGTTAAGCTAGATAGGAAACAAGTTCTGACTAATACAGATGAAGGTCTGAAGGAAGAAGTCTTATTTTTATAAAGGAATTTTCCCCTCCTCGCCAAATCCAGTTTTAAATGTTGATATCTCTGTTGCAAAAACATGATAAATAAATGTATCCTTTGCTCGGTAATGGGTGTATGGGTGTGAATATAAGGGTAAGAAAGTTAAGAAATGTCCAATAGTATACAAAGGGCATTCTTGGGCTGGGCATGGTGGCTCACACCTGTAATCCCAGCACTTTGAGAGGCTGAGGTGGGAGGATTCCTTGGGCCCAGGAGTTCAAGGCCAGCCCTGGGCAAAATAGCAAGACCCTATGTCTTAAAAAAAAAAAAAGAAAAAAGAAAAAGAAAAGAAAAGAAAAAAATTTTAAAAGGCAAAGGGCATTTTTAAAATTATTGCTTTTTTTTTTTTGAGACGGAGCCTTGCTCTGTTGCCCAGGCTGGAATGCAGTGGCGCAATCTCGGCTCACTGCAACCTCTGCCTCCCGAGTGATTCTCCTGCCTCAGCCTCCCAAGTAGCTGAGATTACAGGCATATGCCACCACACTCGATTGATTTTTGTATTTTTAGTAGAGATGGCTTTTCACCATGTTGGCCAGGCTGGTCTTGAACTCCTGACCTCAGGTGATCCATGCACCTTGGTGTCCCAAAGTGCTGGGATTACAGGTGTGAACCGCCACATCCGGCAGGGCAGTCTTTTTCTTTAGATTCTTTTTCTTTAGGCCTCGTCTGTAACCATCCATAGTAATAGCTCTTTTATTTCATCCTTCCCTCACTGAGGAGGAAATAATTTCCTTTCATCCCTTCTGCTTGTTCTAGAGCAGAACTTCTCTACCTGAGTGCTACTGACATTTTGGATGGGATAATTCTTTGTTACGGAGGGCTGTCCTGTAAACTGTAGGATTTTCTGCAGGATCCCTGGCCTCTACCCAGTAGACACAGCAGCACCTCATTTCAGTGTAACAACCGAAAATGTCTTGCCTCATGTCCCCTGGGGAGTAGAGAGGGAGGGGCAAATCACCCCAGGTTGAGAACCACTGTTTTGGAAATATTCAGTGGCATTGCAACCCCACACATTCACATTTTGCCATATGGCATCCTTAACTATTGTCTCAAAGATTTCAAGGCCACGTATTAGGTGTTCCTAGTATTGTTTCTCTGTTTTTCTCCCTGTCCTTGCCTTTTGAGCCCTCACTGGATGAACTTTCCAGGAAATATCCTGAAGGTGACATGCTGGCTGCTGCAGCTGGGAGCACGGAGATGGCTTTGGAGGATCCATGTATCCCAGGGTGGGACCCTGGGGGATGCAGGCATGCTCTACCATCACCACTGCCTCACCTGCAGAGCCGGCTTGCTCCTGCAGGCCTTCCTCTTAAGTTTATGTGGACACCATAGCACCACAGACATTATTCTGGTAGTTTCTCATAGAAAACAAATGTCTCATCTTTGATGGTGTTGATAAACATAAGCCACCTGTGCTCTAAGTGCAGTTTGCCTAAGGACAAAGGCAGGACTCTGATACACAGAATAAGCAACGAAGACGGGTTAAGAGTGCTGACTAGAGAGGGTAGCTTGCTTTTGCTCCGCTTACAGGTAGGTCTCAATGATGATGTATTCATGGATGTGGATATGTGGCAGAAAATTGTCTGCATTTTTTGGAACCAGTTTAAAACGATAAATTAGATAA